CAAAATCCTAGACTAATATTAATATTCTTTTAGTGCTGAATGACAAAGTTTGACTAGTGCAGATAGGAAAGGTGAAGGGCGGACAGGAAGATAGCTAGATATCATATTTGTAATAAAGCATGATAAAAAAATACGAGCTCATATATGTTGAAAGTTCACGCTTGTCTTATATATCATAGAAGGAAAAGGATGATAAAATAAAGTTATGGCACGAAACTAATGATAGGATATATTGGATGCATAAATCATTTAGGCCAGATAAAGGTGAATTAAAATTATTGGAATACAAGTTGCCGGACGAATAATACACTTAAATGTTCTTATCAGAAATATAAGAAATGTGCATTATTATTATCATCTTTACGAAGTAGAAATTCCTATGCAATAATCAGATCTATCTACTGTAACAAATTTTATAAAGACTCTGTTAATTCTGCGAAATATTTTGATAGTTAATATGTCTTTACTACTTAACGTGCCTTCAGTTAGATCCAAAAGAAATAAAGATAGTTCAAATATAAATTCTAAATAGATAGAACTATATATGTAATATCATTTTTTCCTATATTAATAAAGTGACCCTGAAGGTTGATTTCATATATATTCATATTTTTTCGTATAGGTGGCATATATCAGATAATAAAATTTTCTTGGCAAATTTGCGAGACTGTGTGGTCTCAAAAAATATGTGATTTTTTTATTTTTGAATATTAATATACTAATACTACATTACACAAGTAGACAATCTGAAATAAATGGTCCTAGTGAGACTGATTCATTGAAACAATATATTGCCAAGCTTGAGGTCGAGAATGATAAAATTATGACTGAGAATAATAAAATTAAGGCTGAAAATATTGAGCTTAAGGCCAGAGTTGTGAAATTGAAAGATAAGCTATCGCAAAACGAATTAATAAAAAACTTATTATCTGTATCATGAAAGACATGATCATGTATTAATTTAACGAAATTTCAGCTAGGGCACCTCTACTAAATAATTTTTTCTTGTTGACCAATGATCAAGTGTTATGTGTATATTTGATCAGAGCTTTCTAGCAGATCTCTCATGATATTGACGCGTAAATTTCTCAGAATTCTTTGAATTCTCTAAATGTGTAGAATTTTTAAATTCTCAAAATTTTTTCTTTATAAAATTTCTGAATCTATAAAATTCTCAAAATTTTTATTATCCATAAGATATGACTGGTATACTAACATCATCTTTTTATGTATATTACTCAAAGCAACTTAACCAACTTTCTCATTCCATCAAAATAAATACATGGTAACATCTTATATCACGAAAACATCCATTATCGCTAGAACAGATAAGTAATATCTATCCTGAAGTAGAAGATTTGTTAAATAAGGCGGTTAAAAATTATATTAAGCAAAAAGAGCATCAGAAGATAAAGCCTATTATCAGTGACTGTAAAAATTTGTTAAAAAAAAAATGAGAAGTTGTGTATATCAAAGCAGATATTGGAAAAAAAGATTGAAGAGCTTCTCAACTTGCAAGAGCAATATAAGTCTCGTGAGGTAGCCATAACCAGGTCTTTAGAGGAAAGTGGTGGAAAGTCATCCAATTATTAGATTCAGTAACTATCTTCAAAAGTATAATTCCTGATACGAAAAAAACTATTGCGTCTGTTAAAAAATCCATTGACATGTTAAAGAATAAATACCAGAATCTGAAAGATATTATTTTTGCTAAGGATAGGAAAATTATCACTCTTGTTAATCAGATCTTTCTAAAACAGAGTATAGTAATGTGATTATAGAACCAGAAATATATTCTAGCACACATGAAAGGAAATTATGGGTGAAAAGGCGTAGTAAATCTGAACATGATTTAGAAACCCAAAAAAATATACATTTTGACCTACGCATTCACATAGTCTATGATCAAGATTCAATATTATTTTTTTCGATTCTCTGAGTCTCATTAGAATCTATCATAATATGTGGTTGACTCATTCTGTTTTTCTTTTATAATCACAAAAAAGAATAGCATTTCAAAGGCCTCATACAAGACAAAGAAGAATATGCGAAGAATATAAAACTGAGTTAAAGAAGAATAACTATCAGCTTTAGAAAGCATTACAATCAGAGGTTAATACTAATCGCCAGAATGAGAGATGAATTAATCAGTTAGAGCGAGATTATTTCTGGTGTGAGCAAAAAATTCAAGATCTTAATAGGGAGATAGAACTCCTTGAAAATGCTTTGAAAGAAGAAATAGTAGAGTTAAAATCTGAAATCTCTATCCTAAAAAGTTAGCTATATCAAGTTAAGAAAGATGTACGAGATAAGGAAAAATATATTTTTAGTTTAGAAGAATGGTTAGTAGAATCTGAGAAACAAGTTGAGAAATTGCGATGCTAGATCAAGACTATCTCATCACAAAAAAATTCTTCAGAGCGGGGTAATTCTTCAGATTTGTATAATTCTGATAATAATATGACTACAATCACAGAGCTAGCAAATGTTATAGATGGCTACGTGAATAATAGGACAATAGCTAGAGATATTCTGATAGATCAAATAAAAAGGGCAACAAGACAAATTTGCCAAAAAGCGAATAACTTGCATCAGGATTTAGTCTGTAAGCAGAGAAGGCGATATGATGCAGAGGCTGAGCGAGATCTTGCTATTACGCAAAGAGATCTTACTGAAGGAGCAATAGATAGGATTGTTGGTGATCTTTAGCAGTTGTGGGCTAATGCTCAAAGTCAAGTAAATAGAATATTAGGCAATATAACAGGAAAGTGAACCTGTATTGCTATATTACTACAGAAAAAATTCGTCTTACAACTACTATATTAGCGAAATTTTCACTATCTATAGCAAAATAAAAGGGATATAGGTTTATTAGAGTATAATCGGAATAGGCTCTATGAGCGATATGAGAAATGGAAAAATAAGACTCGTGATGCTTAGCAGAATATTTTAAATTTGCAAGCACAAATTTTAGTGCTACAGAATAATTCACCAAATTAAATAAATATGCTTTACCTGCAGGGTTTGTAATGCCTGAATTAAGTAGTTTGAATAGGATCATGAAAAGTTTAGAGATGATTTTATAGCGTATATCCATTTAGCAGGTCTAAATGATGAAGCAAGAATTTGCAATATATTAGACTGATCTGTAAAGGGAGAAGTTCGAGAATGGTATCATAGAGAGTTTGATAATAAAAATTGAGAATTACAAAATGTACTTGATAATTTAGCTATAGGTGCTACTATAGCTCATATTAATAGTGCCAATGTAGAGGCTATAATAGAGGCTGTTGTATCTTTTTTAAATGTTTCATTAGGTCTTGCAGATGCAGACATTATTTCAGCTCAAGGGCTTGATGAAGATTGGAGAATAGCTGAAGGACGATCAACCAATGCAGTATTAATTGTACCAAATACTGGAGGAGGTGTTTCTATTATTCTTGCAGGAATCTGATCTGAACAAAGGTTGAATCATATTAAAAATCATTTTCCATCTACTGATAGATATTTGAGAATGTTTAAAATCAGGGTATTAAAACAAGAAGCACATGAAAGTGTATCTTCTTATTGGGCAAAAATACAAAAATATGGTAATTAGCTGGATTATACTAATACACAAAAGAAGACAGTATTTATGTTCAGAGTAAGAGTTGATATAAAGGAGGAAATTTATAGGATTGGTCAACACAGAGCTATTAATGATATTCTTGATAGTTTAGCAGAACTTGAATTACATTATAAAGTATTAGGTCTGTCACTATCATATCTTAATTATACACTAGCCCCTCTTGCTATTTCCAATAACATATCTCAACAGCAAGAGATTTTCTTGGTAGATATACAAAAAATATTTCAAGAAGCACAAGCACAGCAAAAAACTGAAAATCAGACATTAATAAAGAAAATTACTAAATTAGAACCTCAAATAGCTCAGCAAATGCAAATACTTACTCCTCAAACTGTTGAATCTATTGAACCTGTTAGATAGCCTAGAGGTCCACCATCTTCATTGAAAACAGAGGAAGGTCTCAAGAATTATTATGTAGCTAAATACTTAAAAGAAGTAGGTCTACTTAATAAGAAAGATTTAGACTCAGATTATCCTGTAAAACTTTTTTAAAGATCTCGTCTACAGTAAAATAATAATTCTGTTAGATTTAATAGGATTGAAAAAGAACTTGAAGAAACTCAGAATAATGTAAATCAGTTAGCTGATCTATTTCAGAAAAAAGCATACATACGAAAATGTAGAATTTGTGAGAAAATGGGTCATAGTAAAGGAAGTTATTCAAAAAGACCGATAACTCAATCTAATTTTACTCAGTCATATTTTACACCTCTTATACATTAGAAGATCAAATAAGGTGATTATTATCGGAGATTATTATATTTGGATAATATTCGATAATTTATATTTAAAAAAAATGATTATATATGTGATTTTAAAGATGTTCGTCTAAATAAGTTGTATTAGAAGTTTGTATATGCAAAGATCACCAAAATTGACCAAATATGTATAATTTTTAGTAATACATGTGTTTAAAATATTCATAAATACCCAGTCACAATGATTTGTTTTAAATCGATTTCGTCTTAAAATTGTACTTTTTTATTTATGTATTCTTTTCACATTTGCATATTTGAAATTTTGTAATTTGTTAAAAAATATATATATATTTACTAAAAACTATTTTTTTTATGAAACTTTGGTATAATATGAATGGCTTTTACTATGGAATCTAATGGCACTACATTATATTCTTTTAATATTGATAGTCGAGGATATCCATAGATTTCTGATGCTTCATGATTACTTTTGCTTAGTTCACAATAATCATACTATTTCACCATTGCAAAAGTGAATCTATGTGAGTTGTTTATGAATATTTCTCCTAATAGTAATACCTAATTTTAAAGATATAAAGGTCACTTTACAATAAAAATAAAAAATTTAAATACAATAATAATAATTGCATAATTGCCTTTCTGAAACATGTCCCTTAATTTGTAGTATAATTAATAGCTTCCTCTGCATCCATCGCAATAGCAACATCGCTGAACCATAGAGCATTATTGTAAGATGAATCAGCACGTATAATGTCTATCAATTGCAGCACTGCACATTTATATAACTGCACAAAACTTTTGTTATTATTAAGAGATGTTATAGATGTATTATCCAGAAAAGTGTCAAGAGTTGAGAATAGATTTTTGACTCCTTCGACTTGCAAAGGATCCATAATTTCTAAACATCAGAAAACTCGCAAATATTCTTCAAGAGATTATAGATATAAATCCCAAAGTTTACCCGACAATGTTCTACCCTTTCTTATCTTAGTATGACCTGTGGTCTCTATTAATGCTTTTTGACGAATCTAAGTTAAGTGATTTATTAATAGTAATATGATTAAAGTATTAGATCAATAATAAATAATCAAGTACAAAACTGATAAAAATATTACCTTATTTAAGATTTAGCCCATAACCTCCTTCTTGTTACTTTTCCAATATGGGTTCTTGACATAAAATTTATGTAAAGTCTCATAAGTTTCTGTTGTGAATCTATTGATTGCTCCAAATCGACGAATCACATGATATCTCCAAAAATGTAGTTTTGGTAGATGCAATCCACTTGGATTAAATCGAGAAAATATATTTACGAATTCATGACTCCACGTTATGATCAAATCCTATCAAGATAAGTATAATATTTAATAAAATTATATAATTTATGAAAAATATTTCATTATCATTTACCTCAAATTCATATAGGACTTCTTCTAAAAATTCCTCTTTATGGCTCATCAAATACATATGAATAAAGGAAAGAAATACAGAAGTTAGCCGATTTGAAGATATATATATATGATTATTATTACGATTTTGTTCTTTAACACATAGGTCATTGTCATCAAATAAACTATCAAGTATCGAGACTATTATTTTCATTATCATTCGATACTCATTTGCTGTTTGTACAGTGGTAATACCATTATTAATCCAGGAAATTTTGGGATTGCTGCTAGTCTATTATTAAATTCATCAATTGCCCAACTTCTACATTGTTCATTTAAGAATTCTTGCATATAATCTATCATATATCTGAAGAGTTCTAGATCTAGGTGATGCATTCGATTAGGTAAAGCAGCTTCATATATATTTAAGTTTCTTTTAAAGTGTTAAACGGAATTATTTGATATATAATTAATAAACAATAATACAATACCAAGCAATCAAGTTGAATCATCGAAGTACTTACGGAAAATACCAAAATACATTTTTTTGATCATGTATCAAATAATCATGGGCCTCCCCTTCTTGAATTATGAGAGCCATTGATTCAGGTATTCATAGAATTATATCATCTCTCGAAAGATTCATATTGTTTAAGTTTTCAAACAACATTGTACAATTCGGGCATGGCATCTTACAGTTGGTCGATTTGTAAGTATTTGTAACCACGTCTACTTCTAACATATCTAAAATAAATGTAGAGATCCTTGGAGCGAAAGTAATTTGTACGCCTTTAACCATTAATTCCATTTCTTCAAGTTTTAGAATAGGACATAACATAATACTCCAACACCTTTTTATGACTCTACGTAAAAGTCTTCGAAAGTATTCCAATTTTCTGATTGTTTGATTCTTACTTCGAAGAATTGGCAGGTAGCTGAGTAATGCTTTAGCATCCTTTTTGTTTCTTTGCCATGAAGGAATATTACCTAAAGTAATGAAAACTGGATGCTGCTGAGTTTTACCCAGATTGTCACAAAGAGTCGCATCAGAGTATAATATTACTGATAAAACTCGACTTCCAAACTTTAGATCAGATTCTGCTTGTCGCCACCAATCGCAATTATACTGTTTGGCATAAATTCGAGAAGAACTATCATCCTACAATCATACTGAAGTTAAGTGATTCTAATTTAAATATAAGTTGACCAACTAAAATTAATGAGAACTTACATACCATATTAACCTTTACTTTTTCTTCAAACTGAAACACAAAGTCCTTAGTCATATCCGATTTTTGGAGAAGTGTCTTAATTGTCTTTATTATTGGACAGTAATAAAGGATATATGGAATGCCTTCGAAATCGATTATAAATTTCTTTTTAAAATCGAGGTTCGGTATCGCCATTGAATTTATAAATTCATGCATCTTCTTAGAATTCTTTGGCAGAGGTGATTTTTCTAAATTCGCATTTTTGTTAAAAAAGCGAATGAATGACCCTATAAAAAATTTGCATACGTTTTTTCATTATTATAAATAAGTTTTGTATATGTTTTTTGAAATTCTGTATCAC